GAGTTTTGAAAAGAGTTTTCAAAACTTAATTCAAATTGTTATAACTCATAACAAAACACATTACTTTTACATTATTGAAAATTTTGGTCAACACTCATAACCAAACTCTTTTTAAAATTCAATTAAAAAAATTTATTATTAACAAAAAATAGCATTAATCAATTTTTTAATTGAAAATACTACAAAGTAAATAATTTTTTTTCAATTTAAATATTCAAAAAATTTAAATCATAAATATTTAAATAATCTAAAAAATTTAATAAGTAAAAAATTAAAATAAATATTCAAAAATTTTAAATCGTAAAAATTTAAATAATTTAAATATTTCAAAAATTAAAATAATTTAAAATTTTAAAATTTTAAATTATTTTAATTTTTTAAATATTTAAATTATTTAAATTTTTACGATTTAAAATTTTTGAATATTTATTTTAATTTTTTACTTATTAAATTTTTTAGATTATTTAAATTATTTAAATATTTATGATTTAAATTTTTTGAATATTTATTTTGAAAAAAAATTATTTCCTTTGTAGTATTTTCAATTAAAAAATTGATTAATGTTATTTTTTGCTAATAATAAATTTTTTAATTGAATTTTAAAAAGAGTTTGGTTATGAGTGTTGATCAAAATTTTCAATAATGTGAAAGTAATGTGTTTTGTTATGAGTTATAACAATTTGAATTAAGTTTTGAAAACTCTTTTCAAAACTTATAACCAAACAAATTTTCTTACTTCACATGTCAAATCAAACTTTCAAAACTTAATTCTACACTCAATTCCACACTCAATTCAACACTTTATTAAAAAAACATAGCTAAACAAATTTTCTACACTCAAATCATAATTCTAAAACACACAAACTCAAAATACAATTCATACTCTCAAATCATAATTACAAAGCTCTAATCAAACGGAGCCTAAATAAAACCCCCAGGCCCAATATATATAGTGTATCACACTACAGCCATCGACCCACATAGCAACTATCAAGTATAGCAAGATGAGAGACTTGAATGTGGCGGGTCTCACGTGGGAAAAATACAGAGACTTCATAGGGGAATTGCGAGCTATCGTGACACCAAAGGGAACCCGTGTAGTACATGGTCTACCAGTACTGAACCCCGAAGGTAAAGTGCTGGATCGGGACCGGTTCGTTCTGGTCCGTCTCATCAATGGCGACACCGTCACCTTGGCAATAGATGTGGTGAACCTTTATATTGTGGCTTTTTCTGGTGTCAATAACAAATCCTACTTTTTCAAAGACGCTACAGCACTTCAACTCAAGAATTTATTCGTCGGCACCAAACAAACCAAGTTAAGCTACACCGGCAACTATGACAGCCTTGAGCAGCAGTTACAGGAGGACAAGAAGCCGTCAAAGACGAGGGACAAGATCCCTCTGGGACCAACTCCCCTAGCTGAGGCCATCACAAGGTTGTGGTACGGTGGGAGCGTAGCCGAACCGCTCCTTGTGGTCATTCAGATGGTCTCGGAAGCGGCAAGGTTCAGATACATTGAGGAACAAGTCCGCAAAAGCATAACCGGTCCAAACAAAACTTTTACACCGAAAGGTTTGATAGTGAGCATGGAGAACAAATGGTCGGCTATGTCCTCGCGGATTCAGCGTTCGAAAGATGGACAACACTTCATTACGAGCGTTCAACTTCAAGATGACGATTACAAGCCCCTCATAATTAACGACTTTAATACACTCAGTCGCTATACCATGGTCGCGATTCTTCTCGACGAAAGCGTCGCGACTGCTAGTAGTAGTAAGTAATAGCAACAATGCTAGGTAGTCACAAATTCTGTGACTCAAATAATTTAAAATTGTCAAAATCACGTCGTTTTGGGTGCCAAACGACGCAATCGTTTTGACAATTTCGAATCATTTGAGCCATAGAATTTATAGTCTTCAAATATTTTTCAAGTAATAGCAATATTGCTCTAGCCAAGAACTACCACAACAACGAATTTTCAGGGCATAAAATAAATAGTTACACTTCATCTTCCTCCACAAATAAATCTGCTTTGCATTTTCGTTTTGGACTCTTTTTTGTATTTCTTGATCAATGTGGGAGTTAATGTGATCAAATTGGCATATATGGCTTTCTTCTTTTTTTTTGTTTTGCGTTTTTTTTTTTATTACGTGGCATCCATTTTAGCACATACCAAAGGTTGGGCACGAGAAAAAAAAGTTATCCAAATAATAGTGGAAAAAGATATACGAAAAAAAATTAGAATCAAAGAGTAAGATTAACAATTTGATGACCTACCTTGCTGACCCCTTTTTTTGGCAAACGAAGTATATTTTTTCGACACGCCAGATATGAGGAAATTTTTTTTATAATCGCAGGATGAATAATCCCTTCATTTATTCATCATTATTAAGTTAATTAATAATATATTTTAATTAATGTTTCTGATAATTTTATTGTTGAATAAAAAAATAATCAATAATTTTATTTTTTTTATCAATAAATTACGATAAGACGGTATTTATAATTTTTAAAATTATAAAAATTTATTTATATTTTAAGTAAACTTATATTCGTAATTGAGTAATGCTTAAAGATTTAGAAAAATATTTTATCAAATATTCATATGAATGTGATATCTACATAAGGTCTCGCTTGGGGATTTATTTTTTTAGTTAATTAGTCAAAAAATTACTAATTTAGTTAAAAAATTAACCATTCATACCAAAAAATTAAAAAATTTTTTTTTAAATTTTTTACACATTTTTTCATAATTAATTAAAAAATTATTCTAAACATATAAATTTTTTTACTTATCTTTTTAATCAAATAATCAAAAAAATTATTAAATTAACCTATTCTCAAATGACACTTAAGTTTCATCCCACCCCCAAATAAGTATTTGGTGAAATATATAATAATTTATAGTCTCCGGTATTTTTGTACGTAACTGTAGTCAACAAAAAAAATCATGCAAGGACTTTAATGGACACTTGTAGGATCCACACAAAATAATTACAACAATGATAGAGATCATTAATTTTGGAACTCTAAAAAGACTATTAATGACGTGGTACTTAATAAAAAAAAAAAAAATACAACACCAAGGTCAAAATATCAAATCATTATCATTAGTGATAACACTAATTAGTGCTCTCACTCATTTTTCAAATAATTATAAGTATTCTAATAAGAAAAGACGAATTCCAATCACATTTCTTGTCACCTAAAGTCCATCCTTATCAAAGGAGGAAATAGAGTCAAAAAATCTACCTTATTTTGTCGATTCCCCCGACAATCAAGCTGCACTGCCTAAAAGATAAATTTTTTTATTCAGTATTATTTATGATTTTTTAATAAATTAAAATATTTATTTGAAAATATTAATGTGTTGAAAAGGTATTAAGTAGGAGTCAATTTTGTAAAAATTGATTTACGAAATTTTCAAATATAAGTCAGTTTTAAAAAAATAATGTAAAAATATTTTTCTTAAAAAATATTTAACTTGTTTTTTATTCAACCAAACAACAAAAGATGAATAAAATATGTTTGACAAAAATATTTTATGTCAAAACAAACGGAACTTTAGTTTCCCAATTTTGACAAATTCTTGAGGTCTTTTCCATCTTGATTTTTTTTTTTTAATAAAAATAGTGAAACTCAGTATTTTTTTATTAATTTTGAAAAAATAACTCAATAAATATTATGTAATGAATAATGTAAAATATTACTAAAAAATTATTAAATAACCTCTAAATTATTATTGACTTCGTATAATATTTCAAAATCGCTGAATAATGTCACCTCTCAGCTCAAACAGAGATGTCTCAACTGCCTCAACCTTGTTGCAGTGAAAATTTGTCATGGCACTGCCTTTTGATTTTTTTTTTCTTTTTGAAATTTACAAGATAATTTTCCATCATTACAGTTGACTATTACCAATTCTTTCCGATTAATGACTTTGAAAATTGGGTAATGATACAGTACACATTCTCAAAAAGTTTGTGTCATATATAAGGGACAGAAATGTTTGGGATTTTTTTTTTTTTTTTTTTTTTTAAGAGTTTCATGATTTTCAATTTGATTTTGACTTTTACGGTGTGTACGGAGTCTATCAATATATGTGTGAATCTTACATTATGAATAATTAAGATAAAAATAAGAATTGTAGAGGTCATGCATGTGTGAAGATCTCTATTACAATTATATAAGTGATGGGGGCTGGCTTACTTCCGTTTATGATCGGACCAGAGAATATTGTTGGATTTATAGGAGTTTATTACGGGTCTCGTTTCGATAATATGAACCGTTCAATGTATAAAACTCGTCAAGTACTATATGCCTGTAAAAAATCACGTTGATCGGATATCGATAGTTACGTGATCAAATTCGTTTTGTATAAAAAAAAATGAACGGTGAAAAAATAAACGGTTGACAGAAATCTGATCCAATAAGATAGCTATCAATATCCGATCAATGTGATTTTTTACAGACATATAGTACTTAACGAATTTTACATATTGAATGGTTCAAATTATCGAAACGGAACCCGTAATAAGCCCCTAGGCCCAATAATACTCTCTTGGAGGAAGCCCAACACTAAGTTATGATATTTGAAATTTGATTATCATAAATATTGTAACTTAATCCGACAGGTCTTAACTAAAAAATAAAAAATAATAATTAAACAATACATAAAGTATAAATAAAGATTTATTAAATCATAATTAAAATAATGTAATAATTAATATCACAATAAATCATACTTAATATCATAATATATTATAATCAAATATTATAAATATCATAACTAAAGTGTATATAGTATAATTTCCCTTGAAAAAATTTTTGTTACAGGAAAATCCTCTCTACCCTCCTGCAGGTCCAAGGTAATGCCCCTTGCAAAGATCACCAGAGTGTTCTGTTAGCCGTTTCGAGAGAGGAGATTATAATTTGAAAACTTGTCCCGACCTCCCAAGACAAGCTCCGCTTAAGTCAGGACTCGCACAGCGGAAAAATATTAAACTCACACTAAATACTGATCAGACAATTTAAAATCCAACTACCTAACCAACTGTATTTTATCCAAAAAATTGGCCCAGAGATTACTACCACAAATTCCAAAAATGTATTATTTGATAATTTCAAATATCATTTCGCTAAATATCACCCTTTGAAAGCCATGGCCCTTGCCTTGCATATATAGCCAATGAAGTGAAAGTTCAAGTCGGCAATTGAAATTTGAAAGCAACAGCTAACTCAGCTACCTACGTTGGGTAAGGAAACTATGGTTAGGTTTGTCAAGTTTAATTTTAAGGCCAAGTTTGGGATGTTCCAAAAAGTCAAAAAGTCAAAAAGTTACTCAAAAAGTTAAAAAGTTAACACTATTCACCAAAAGTCAACAATTACGGCTGCACAACTCCCAATTCAAATTTTTCCTTACAAATCAATTTTTACAATTTTTTATTACACATTTTTCAATAAAAAGTCAAAAAGTTAACCCAAACATCCATATTTTCAACCCCAATTTTTTAGTCTAAAAAGACAAAAAGTGCACTTATTTAGTCTTCCCAAACTTAGCCTAAGTCTCGATCGGGTGGATAATGTTTTAATTAAAAAATTTATAAAAAAAAAAAAAAAAAAACCATTTAAAAAGTCAAAAAAACTCAATTCATATCAAATAGAATTAAAGATTTTTTTTATTCTCTATTTTTTTTTATATCTTTTCATAGAAAATTAAAAAATAATTCACAAGCATTTACATTTTGTTTTCTTATATTTTAGCAAAGCAATTTTTTTTAAAAAAAAAATACTAAAAAAATCACTTCTCAAACCTTCCCTAATCAGTAGTGTTGTTGATGTAAATTCAAAAGATTTTTCATTGAAAAAATTAGAAATCATTATATGACCAAAAATAATTAAAAACACATAAAATATTACTCTTTTTGTGCAAAAAACTAAAATAAAATAAAAATTTGCACTTCAAAAAAATTCTCATATTTTCGTAAATAATTGATCCGCTCCCCCTAATGAATCATTTTTTTTTTTCTTTTTCATTCAGGTTACAAGCTGATTAAAGTTATGGCTATGGCCTCGTTTGAGAAGTGGCTATTTTAGTAGGTTATTTTAATTTTTGACTATTTTAGTAGGCTAAAATTTTTATGTTTGGAAAGATGATTGGATTTTTTTGTGGTTGGATGTGATGTTTGTGAGAGAAAAAGTGAAATGATTATGAGTTTGATGTGATATTTTGTCTTATTAGCTATTTTAACCTATTTTATCTTTTTGTAAATTTTAACCTAAATTGGACTATTTTAGCCTAACTGTTCATACAGATGCTTAGCGAGACTTTAATAGCTAGCTATCAAGAGCATCTTTTATCAGCTGATCTAAATTTTACCTTAATATATTATTAAAAAATTCATTCTCTATTTTAAAAATTATTTTTTCATCTACTTTTCTTAACAAATTTTCTATTTTTTTTTCTATTCTATTAAAATAATCTTTTTAACTATTTTGAAATTTGAATATTTTTTTAATAATAAAATAATTAAACAATATTAATTAAAGTAAAAAATGAAGGCTAAAAAATAATCTTTTAAACTATTTTTAAATTTGAATATTTTTTTAATAATAAAATAATTAAACAATATTAATTAAAGTAAAAAATGGAGGTTAAAGGCAGAAATAAGCAAGAAAGCAGCAGAATCAATATAAATTAAATAATATGAATTAAAGTCCAAAACAGAAGGAAGCAGTAGAAGCAAATAAGTTTTAGCCCTGTTCGGTAGAGCTGTGGGAAAGTGCTTATAGCTTATGCCTAAACAGCTTATAGCTTATAACTTTCAGCTTAAGCTGATTTCCAGCTTATTCTTAAAGCATCTCCTGCCCCACTCAAAGAATAAGCTGATTTCTGACTTCCACAAAGCTATAAGCTATAAGCTATAAGCTAAACCAAACACATCAAAATAACTTAAATTAAGCTGAAAGCTGAAATAAGCTGTAAATAATTTCTGCCAAACAGGCACTTTGTCTCATCTAAGATATCCGGATAGACAACTCCCGTCAAATATAAAAGAGTTACAATAGAGAGTCACTGTGTCAATCCTAAATTTAAGGAGTTATATAAGGAATCTAATAGA